CTACCGCAAACGTCGGTTCCGGCACACATCAACGGACTTTTTCCTCTATATAGGTTACGTCAATACAGACAATGGTTTCCCCGAGCACAAATATATATATATATATATATATATATATATAACATGTTTATTAGTGTGTGTATTAGTTATATTAATATGTAATGAGCAGATATTGGCTCAGTCTTGTTGCTAGGTGCATACTCCAGCACAATAACATATTTAAAGTGAAGAGCGCACCCACAGGACAAATAAACAAGATAACGTCATTTTTTACAGTTGTGCACTACATACATTCACCATTTCAGTCCTATTACCAACATTTCCTTAATATGTCAAGGTAGTTGTACTGAAACATCTTTTCTAACTCTTTATCAGCACACTATGCTGGCACAACGCATTATTGGGCTGGTAAATAATTTTTTTTCCAGACCTCCTTTTCGTTCCCAGTCCGACCCTGGCCACCAGCGGCAATGTCACCATTGGAGTTCTTGATGAAATCTGCAAAGTCCCCAAATGGGGACAGTGCTGCTTTAAGAAAAATTAGAAAGGATATTTCCCTGTTTGCGAATACATTACATTGTTTTGTTTATTTTGGATGGTTCATATAATTTGACTACTAGTCATATTACGTGAAGTTTTTTTTTTTCCTCATAACTCCACGATGATACTAACGTCCTAATCTTACGGGAATAGCCTTCTCTCACTGGGATTTGCAAGTGAACAAACACATTCTTTACTAAGCGTTATTAAATTTATTCTAAACCATTGCTGTATGGTCCCAATTCATGAACTATAAAACCTAGTTAGGAAAGATTCAAATATTAAAAATATATTTTTGTCAGACTTTCTACTAATAAATTAATTTTTGTGCTACATATAATTGTTATACGGATCAGAAATTGTCCATTCTTTATTCTTGTGTGTATTTAACTGTACAGAGTATGTGACTGACTTATAAAGCTAGTTTGTAACGTTTCCCCTGAGATTTAATCAGGCGCCATGTTAACTATCACACAGCCTGTCATATGGCATGTAACACTGGGAGCAGCAGCCATTTTGCTGTAGTTTCCGCTCACAGACAGCGGTATACAGGCGCCACGCTGACTGGTGACGGTCGCCAGTAATGACGGCGCGCTCTCTGACGCCCTTTGCCAATCTTTGACGTCACTTCCTCCTCGCTGCTGCTACTTAAAGCTCCGGCGCAGTCTGTGGGACAGCCTCTTTGCTTGCAGCGTGGCCATGGGAGAAGACGTGAAGGTGAGAGCGCTTTGACTGCGTTGTTACTAGTCTCCATCAGGGCGCTTTATATGTTAGCTGTATCTTCTTTATTGCATTTCAGCTTTAGTCCTTCATTATATATTGAGGGTTTATCTTTCTACCCCAATGCTTTATGGATATCTGCTCTTTTTATGTTACAGTGTACTGAGTGGGTCTAGTAACTGCACCATCCAGTATCTCAATTGCTGTGTAATGTCTATTACTATTGCATATGGTCCTGTTGTGTTCAGGGTAATTCACTAAAAAGCGAATCAAAAAATTTTAAGGTCAAAGTAGCTGAACTGAGAAATTTTGAGTTTCATTCATGTATTCTGGATTTAAATTTTAAAATTTACACTTTAGTAAATATAGTGTCTTTCTCTGATTTTTCACTGCAGAGCATGGTGTTTATACACTGAGGATTTTTAGATATATATTAGAATTTTGGTTTTGCCTCAATATTCTATAAAACCCATTAAGGTTAATATCCTGAAAGAGCTCACTGTAAGGGACACTCCAGGTCCTGAAATAACTATGCATTGACTAGCTTTTGGCCTTACTACCATGCAGTGTTGTACAGACATACCCCACTTTTAAGTACACAATGGGACCAGAGCATGTATGAAAATGTATTTAAAGTGAAGCAATACTTTTTTTTTTTTTTTTACTTCCCAATGCATGCACTGCAATGGTAATTTACAGGCATAACTGATACTGCAACTGCAGATTTCCCATGATTTTATTTCCAGTGATTTATGTAGTGATTTCCAGTGGGCTTTTATTCAGTTAAAACAAACTCTAAAGAGATCTCATTCCAGATTGTACCATTTATCTTTAATGTATTACTCATCTGACCCTTATCCTGGGAGGAAAATTTAAATAAACCTGCCCACTGGGCCATTTTCTGTCAGTACAGTTCTTATTTGTTAGCAGCTTAGTTGCACACTTTTAGAAACTCCTCTTCATTGCTTTAAGCATTTATGGTTTAACTTTGAATCCTCAGAATTGTGGCTAATGCTGCCAAGTCATAGTTATAGAAAATGGCAGGTGATTGCAGAATCTGGGCAGACAAAAATATATATGTTCAGCTAGGAGTAGACATTAAGTTGAGATTATTAACCTTTGCCATGTCAGAAGGTGTGAAAAGTTCTTACCCCAAAGACACTGAACGGAGCTGCTCTTGGTGAGAATAGAACCTTTCATTTACTGGTCACTCGCAGACAGAAAACATGGGAATTTCTGTACTCGCAGGCACTTTTACGTAGACTTGTGGGTATATCTGTACTCGTGAATGTATGTAAAGCGGGGTATGCCTGTATTTGGCTTTTGTTTTGTCATGCTTCCAATTTTTTTTACTGTGTTTTAACGCCTGTAGGTCTATGATCTGAGCTGCAGAAGGCAAGCAGCCAGAATGACAAAGGGCCAAGGAGAATACACTTAAATGATATGTAAGTATCGTTGTTTGTCTACATGTAAAACTTTCCTGTCCTAATGTGTCTTAAAACACCTCCTATAGACTGCAAGCTTGTTTGAGCAGGGTCCCTTTCAAGCTATTGTTTCTGTAAGTTTTCTTGTATTTGTCCTGTTTAGTTACATCTCCCTCTCATAATATTGTGTGCTAAAGAATCTGTTGGTGCTATATAAATGGTGATACACTGGATTTATAGCTTTGTGCAGTATGTGTGGGGTTTAAGAGTTATGGGGAGGATTTTTTTTTTTTTTCAACTCTGGTTTCTGGAGCACACTGAAATGCTGCCTTAAGAGGCTTGCAGTCAGCTGAGGCACATGATTCTCCAAGAGACTTGTTCTTTATAACTAATCTGCTAGTTTCCCATAATGGTTGATATTCTAGCTTAGACTGCACAAAACTGCCCTATCGGCAATTTGCCAGTTAATGAAGGTTTTTTTTGTTTTTTTTTTGATTCTCAGAATTTTATCTTAATTGTTTAGCTTATGAGGCATTATTTAACCTGTCTGCATTTCCAACATGCTATCTAGCCTTTGTTGCACTTTGTTTACCTAAATTTGTATAATATAACCTCTTGCAAATGATGTCTATTCTCACGATGGTCTTCCAAGCTTCAATGAGGCTTTGACGATAATGCCATATGGCTTTGCTGATGCAATAAGGGGGATCGGTAGTTCTTTCAAAGGTACGGTAGAATGGTCTAATAACTTTGCGGTTCTCTCTTTAGGATCTTGCTCGGATTGGTACTGTTTCCTTTGGCGCAAAGGTTGGTGTTATATTTTAACTCTGCTTCTTTCTATGCAATTGACTTGGCTAGTATTTCTACAGCTTACTTGTGCACTTTTAAAGTGAATCTCCTGTCTGAATTCAGAGTCTAACTTGTTCCTGAGCTTGTAGTGATCCCAGACTTGTGGCGCTTGGGGAGTGCTTAACTACCTCCCACTGTAGTTATGATGCCAGGAGTGATTTTTTTTTTTTTTTTGGCACATTTCCAGGATAGGCAGTTAAACTTTTTATATATTTTGGTAAACCTTTAAACATCAACCTGATATCTTGTGTTCTAAAGAGACTTTAGTGTAGCACAAAATAGGTTCTTTCTCTTCATGGGTTTGGGCTTTTGATTGACACTCTGCTCTTCTTGCAGGCTTTGGAACCAAATTGTAAAATGGTGCACTGCTGGAGATGGACAATGCAGCCAACATGATCAAGGTGTGTTAATGTCTGCAAGCTGGGAGCAATGAACAAGAGTCCTTTAGTGTGACTGCTCAATTTACTATAAGGGGTGGAATTCTGCTCTTCAGTAGCACATGATGTTTATTCTCACGATGGTCTTCCAAGCTTCAGGCTTTGACGATAATGCCAAATGGCTTTGCTGATGCTTCATAACCATATTAAAAGTAGATGTAACATGAAACTTGTTTTGATCTTACAATTTTATAACTCTTCATTTCAGGTGTCTAACTGAAGAAATTGTTCAAACTTCCATTTGTGCCGCAAGGTAACTATCTTATTCGTTCATGTAATGCAGAAAGGCTAATTAAATCACTGCAGCAACTATAACTGTAGGCTATAATACCACTATGAAGCCTGCAGTAATGTTAAATACTTGTAAACAGATGTTAACTTTTCTCAGCTACTAACTGGCTGCACAGCGCAAATTGGCTTAAGTTGTGCACAACTTACCATGCCTTATATTCAACAGTTTGCAGAAAATTAAAGTATTCTGCTTCAACAATGGCATCTTTGATTTAACATCTCATACGGCCTTAGAAATACCCTGGCTTGTGCATTTTGTCTTCACAATTCTCCATATTTTGTACTGGATACAGATGGTTGCAGCAAGGGTATTTAGTGTCTGGTAATTACCTTTTTTGTATGGGAACCTTGTCTGTACTAGAACCATGATGAGTCTATCCCGAACCTGAATTGTGATGACACATTCTATGGATCTGACTGCTGAGTTCTGAAAAACCTTAACTTCAAATACACTTTACTTTAAAAAAAAAAAAAAAAAAAAAACTTATAAAAGGAATTAACTTTAAGTCTTGTTTCATAGGTCTAAACACTGCAGGAGGAATGCAGACTCAAGTCACATGTAGCACATGGTAAGTTCTGTGATTTTGTACTGTGAGTGTTCTTTTGCCTAATCTCTCAATGTGAGAACATGAATTTACTGAGACTTAATAAAACATTTTTGTCTTCCAGGTGATGCTGCAATAACCAATTTTAATCATTCCATGAAGGTTTGTTCAGGTATGTCCCTATGTATTTGTCTGTATAATACAAACTGCAAACAATGATGAACTATCCCGAACCTGACTTGCTGATGTCAAACTCTTTATGGATCTGACTGCTGATGTTTGCAAAGTTTGTTTTTGAAACCTTTTACACTTGATATTTGCACCTCTAACTTGGATGTTTTAGTTGGCAACAATAACCTAGATATGAAGTATTAAACTTAATCCTGTACAGACATGTGACTCATCATATTTTTTGGCTTTTCTTTAGTGCAACATTGGCATAACTCTGGATACCTCAAATTTATTCCTCAAATCTACACTGGTGTCTCTGGACTAGTCCTGTTGGTGACAGGGCCTCATACAACTATAAGCAGATTTTTATTTTTTTATTCTTTTTGCTGTCTAAAAGTAATTTTATTAAAATTAACAGTTCTCTTGACTCCCATGTCTTTTGTCTTTAATTTTTTTTTTTTTATGCCATAGTTTCTGTGTGGGAATATTTGCAACTTGCACTCTCGTACTGGCAAACAAACTGCCCTTATCTACTAAAGGGATACTGTAGACATTAAACAACTTTACCTGATCAGTTTTGGTGTATATATCTTGCTCCTGTAGTCTCAATGCTCAGTTTCAGAGTTAAAAACTCTTTATGCAGCACTTGTCTCTCATGTGACTTGCACATACTTCCAACCACTAACTGGAAAAACCTAGATCTGCTAGATTTCTTTACTGCAGTCTGTTTAATCTAGCAATAGCCTGCAGGAGCCTCCAGTGTGACTGTTCAGTTTACATCTGAACATACTTCTAAAAGTTATCAGACTTATTTTATGCATGAACAGAAACAAGCTATTTAACTCCTAAATGGCAGATGACTAAACAAGTCTGAACAAACTGTTTAATGATGTAAAAGTTGTTTTGGTGTCTAGTTTCCCTTTTTAACGCTTAAACAGGCAGCATAGCACATCCCTGCCATCCTTTGTACTTACCTGGTATCCAAGAGTCCCCTTCACGATCACATGGACAGAATAGCCGTCCACAGCATTGCCAGCAGTGGAGTGCCTGCAATGACAAATAGCCGCCTGCTGCATAAAAGTTGGTCAAAAATAAATATCTACATACTTGGATCATATATGATATATGTATATACATACCCTGTCTAAGTGTATTTTAACTCCTTTTAAGGACTGACGGTCCTTAACCATCATAACGGTATCTGACTTATCTGTGTTGCTCCCAGTGTGGGTAGACTGACTGAGAGCCCAGGCAGTTTCCCCTCAGCAAATTAGGACCCCACAGGCATGTGATTGCCGTAAGAGTGGTCACATGGCTGCAATACGTGCAAAGTATCTGCCTGAACTGACAGTCTCCCTGCATGTGTAAAATAAAAAGTTGACTATTTATGATATAGAGGCATAATACTGGTCTCGACATCTCATACTAAGTGTACTTTTATACATTATGTGTATCTTTTGTAGTTAAATTGCATGTGTAACTATTTTGTTTATAAAATACAAACTTGAAATAAATTACGCCCCTTAAGACCGCAGGGCATTAGATGCAGTCCTTAAGGAAGCAGCTGTAAACACCATAGGGCAGCATAGAACGCACTTTGTACTTACCCGGTCACAGGCGACTTTGGTATGGGGACTTACCTTGGAGCCCGGGAGTGGGGATACTGTTTTACTCGGAAGACTTCACTGAACACATATTAGTGCCGAGCTTGCCAAGACCCACTTCTCAAAACGGTAATTTTTCAAGACCCGCTTTTAATGCATATTTTAAAACACCATGGCAATCATCTTTAGAGGCATACAATTGGCACACTATGGCAAACAGCTTTAGAGGCATAAAACTGGTACACCAGGGCACCTTTAGGTGCAAAAGTTGGTACAACTTGCCACACCATGGAAAACCACTTTAGAGGCATAAAATAGGAACATCATGACAGCTTTAAATACATAAACTTGGCACACCATGGCAATCCGCTTTAGATGCATAAAATTGGCATAACATGGCAGTTTTAGAGGCATAATTGTGGGATAGCATGGCAGTTTTAGAAGCAGAAACTCTGCACATCATGACAATCGGTTTTAGAGACTTACAACTGCTTACTCACAATCAGAAGTGCTGTTCTGCTCTTTCATCCGGGCACCTCACGTTGATTGTCCCAGTGGAGGAACTAATGTAGAGGGGGGCCCTGGTGCAAGTATGTTTTCTGGGCCCCCTTTAGTGAAAGTGTGGCCAAAACACAGATCTCCATCCGTCGGAGAACTTCAATGCTGTGCTAGATAGGTATCTACCACTTGCGCATTATTGCAGGGTTATATTTGAGCAGTGTTTGAATGTAAGCATGTTTTTGTATTTGTATGTATTGTTGCCATTGGAATGTAGTGGTGTACTTGTTTCTAATGTTTGCGTCTGAATGCATGGGTTTGTGTATGTAGTGTAGGACTTTAAATACAGGTGTGTTTTTTGTGTGTAGTGTTGGTGTTTGTAGATCATTTTAGTGTTTTATTGCAGGGGTGTGATTATGTGTTTGCTTTTGATTGCAGTGAGTGTGTAGTGGATGCTGTGTGTGTGTATATTGTGTTTTATAAAATATACATATACACAATGTGTGTTTGAATGTAAGCATGTTTTTTTTGTATGGAGTATGTGTGCAGTGTATACACACAAATACAAACCTACACAGCGATACACACAATGACACCTAGTTTCCCCACACACAGACACTCGTACACAGATACACACTGAACACACAAATACACACACTGCTGCAAAAGGGACACATACACACAGAGAAAGGAGGTGAGGGTGACAGTGTGTATTGGTAACTGTGGGGGGCAGAGGAGAAAGGGTTCCGGGGGGGTCGCAGTCGGAGGAAAAGGCTACAAGTGGGGTGGGCAACCCATTTGCAATACCTTGGGTTGTCTACTTTTGCAAATGGTATGCCATGGGGGTAATTCTTATTCTTGGGCTACCATACAGTCTCAAAGGCAACGTAACTAATCTGGCTAATTTCAATGTGAAAACTGAAAAATTTAACACTATATTTGACCCTGTAACTTCCCATAACACCATCAAATCTGGACATAGGGGGTACTGTTTTACATGTGAGATTGCTGAATACAAATGTGTATTTCATTGCAGTAAAAGCAAACAGTATTATTACATTCAGTTAGAATGTCACAAACTAATTTTTTAATTATTTTTCCCCTTTTTTTATTTTATTCATATTAAATTGTTTCCTACCTAAATAGTTGATGTTAAATGAAAGCCCTGTTTCTCCTGAATAAAATTATATATGTGTGGGTGCACATAATATAAAAGAGGCGAATTATGCCTGAACAGACAAGTTCCATTTTTTTTTTTTTTTGCGTTTTGATCATAACGTGTGCATTTGGCTCAGTCCTTAAGGGGTTAAACATACAAATATCAAATTTTATTCTAACTATTTTGATATATTTATATCAAAATACACTTAGAATTAAATATATACATTTATGTATATATAAATCAAAATACTATATATCCACATACAAAATTACATAAATTTCATAAATACACATAGAATTCAAATATGCATATTTAAATTCTACATGTGTACTTATGTAATTTTACATAAGTAATTTTATTGATTGTAATTTGAGGGACCTGCTTGATAACCCAGGCAGAAAATCCAGAATTAAATTTGCTAGCACTGTATTTAACCCTGTAATTTTCTACCATAGGCAAAAGACAACCCAAGGGACAAAGTTAGTCAACAATGGCCAAAATTGGCATTCAAATTAGTTTTTTTTGCATTTTTCACACACAAATTTTAACGCTAACTTTGGCTAGTGTTTGAACAAGTGGCTACTAAAAAAAAAGACTAGACCTACCCCATGTACAATACCTTGGGTTGTCTACTATTGCAAATGGTATGCCATCATGGGGGTAATTTAAATTCCTGGGCTACAATACGGTCTTAAAGGCAATGTAACCAATCTGACGAATTTCAATGTGAAAAAAACGAAAGGCAAGCCTTATATATGACTAACTTTTGAAAACACCATACAACCTGTACATGGGGGGTACTGTTATGCTCAGGAGACTTCGCTGACCACAAATATTAGTGTTTCAAAACAGTAAAACGTATCAACAATTATATCGTCAGCTGCCACAGCATTCAGAAGTGGATCGGCAGGAGGGAGGCCAGGTATGTGTGGGCCGTGGCACACTGAAATGCGGCAGGCGCCATCTTAACTTCGGTCCCCCGTGTATAAGTGTTTTTTTGTTTTTTTTTTAACCACTGTCGTGACATTCCCTGTATAACACGCCCCCCAATTTTAGACTAAAAAGAATTAGAAAAAGACTCTTGTACATGGAAAAATACCATACTTTTTTCCCCCTAATAGAAAGTAAGGACCATTTGTGACTGTCCTACCATGTCTTGTCCAGATTTTCTTTAGAATCTGCTTTGTCTGCAAATACTTTTATACAGGATTTATATGTAAAATGCAATATTTTTTGTTGTTGTTGAGGCCTCTGGTCGCATGGTGCAGGTTTAGTCACGATGAGTCAATCTGACGGGTTTGGCATTAGTAAATCTAATACAGTCAGAATGTGGCAATTATTGAATTCTATCCACACAAAGCTTATTACATTAAAATACTTAAAACCGATCAATTGGAACAAGTTTATTGAACTGAGTTTGTTTGCAGACAGCCATTTATCTTTTAGGAAGAAAATCTGGTACTTTCAGACCTATTGAAAAGAGAGTACAATTATAAAAATGTACCTTTTTGATGCACATAATCTACAGATTACTTATGGTGTGATAGCGTGTGTTCTCATATCAATAAAATAGAATTTTCTGTTAAAATATACTCCATTTAAATTATAAAGTGCCACATACTCTGCAATGCTGTACAAGCAGATAGATGAGTAGTTTCAGCAAGACATGTTAGACTTTTAGGAGCAGAAGGTGCTGAGAGCACTCCTCAAATGAGCTTACATTCTATGGGCATTGATGTTAAATGACACAAGATGTATTAATTTATAGAAAAGTAAGTCTCTAGACAATTCAATGTTTGTTTTTTACTTTAATCTTTCTTTTATAATAAGTATAGATAACATACAAGTATCCTTTAATTGAAATATTTGGAAATTTAATTTCGGTCATACCTTTAAATAGGTGGGAGCAGCATTATGTAGAGATTTGAAAGCAAGAACCAGAATTTTAAATTGAGCCCTATATCTTACAGGGCTCAAAGAAGGGACTGACAGAAGGGTGAGGTGTGGGCGGACAGGAAGAGGAGCCTCGCCGCCACATTCATTATGGACTGTAACGGTGCAAGTTGGGAGCATGTAAGACCACTGAGAAGCGGATTACAGTAGTCAAGGCAGTAAGTACAGTTGAATGGACCAACACCTTAGTCGCATCTGGCGTTAAGTAGGGTCGGATGCGCGAAATGTTTTTGAGATGGAAGGATTCGGCAGGATTCGGTGATAGAGTGATCATGAGGCGTGAAGGAGAGGTCGGAGTCAAAGAGAACACCTAGGCAGCTAGCCTGCATGGTGGAGCTGATTGTAGCACCGTTGATTTGGAGGGAGGGAGACACAGGAGTAGCAACACTTGAGGGAGAAAAGACCAGCATTTCAGTTTTGGTCAAGTTGAGTTTAAGGAAGTGGGCAGCCATCCAGTTAGAAACAGCAGAGAAGCAGTCAGAGACACTAGTCAAGAGGGACGGGGAGAGATCAGGAGAGGATACAGATTTGTGTGTCATCTGCATAGAAATGATATTGGAAGCCAAATGAGCGAATAAGTTTACCAAGGGAGGCAGTATTGCTAGAGAACAGTAGGGGACCAAGGACTGATCCTTGGGGAACACCAACAAAGAGGAGTTGGGGAGAAGAAGCAGAGCCAGAGAAAGAAACAGTGAAAGAGTGCTGGGAGAGGTAGGAGGAGCACCAGGAGAGTGCAGTATCTTGTAGACCAATATTGCGGAGGATGAGAAGAAGCTGTTGATGATCAGAGAGACACGGTGCAGCTGCGGGGACAAAGAGACACATGGAGAGATTAGAGAAATGCAAAGGCACTAGGAGCAAAAAAAAAAAGAGACAAAGTTTGCAATTTTTTTTTTTTTTTTGAAGTGGGGAAGGGGCTGCAAGTAGATGGTCTTGTCTAGGGCACAAAATTGTCTTTCACTGGCCCTGGTCAGTGTCTAGCTCTTTTTCCCCATTTAGAAATGTGTGATATTTTAACTGTACTATCAGAAGTTCTGACTAGATCTCCCACCTTAGTGAGGAGTTTTCCAATTCTGGAATAATTAAATATCTTCACTAATTTGGACAGTAAAGCCAATTGATCCATTATAAAATATTTTTATTCTTACATATTTTAATATCTCTGAATTAGATAAACAATTTTTTTTGAACTGGAAAAGGAATTTAATAGTGCAACTTGTAAAAAGTTGTAATATTAGAATTATACCTTTGAATTTTTCAAGAATTCAAATTATGTCCTCAGTAGTAGATTCCAAAATATAAATTTTGAAAAAGAGGGTTGTCTTCGCTAACAAACCTAGTGATTTCTTAATTGTGCGCCATGGCTCCAGTGTTTGCATTCATACACTATAGTGTTCCTTTAAGCCAAATGTTTATTCCTGACTCTATAGGAGAGAAAACAATGTTTAGGTATCCAGTTCCCCTCTTGCCTCCTGTGAAAAAGGTAGTTTCGGTCTTTTCACGGCTGGCCCCATCTACGCCCCGCCTCCTTTGGCTGAGATAATCAAAACTGATGATCTTAGCAAATGCTTACCCAGTGTAAGGCATTGATAGGCTGCCATGCTGTGCCATTCAGCATCTCCTCATAGTTTACACTGAATCAGAGTGTGGAGACACTAAATGTCTGATTACTGCCTAGTTACGTTTAGTTGCAGTCAGTGTAAACACTGTATTTTCTCTGAATAAAATATGAATATGTCTGAAAAGGCAGTGTTTACATGAAAATGCCTTCAGGGACATACTATACACAACAAAACAACTACATTAAACTGTACTTGTTCTGGTGACTATAGTGCACCTTTAAGAGTCTATTTATTTTTTTTAATTTTTTATAAGTTATGTCACAGACCCTCTGCTCGCCTAAGCTGGGTACATGGCACGGCAGCCCTCCACCCCCACTAAAATGACTATAACACTAAGGACTAACCCACCAGCCCATGTCTCCCAGCCCATTGCACTTTTCTACCTGTCCAGAACCGCCTACCATGAGCCAGAGGAGTCCCTGAGACACGGTGCACCTGACTGAAAGCGACTTTTAATCGTCCTGGAACTCTGAAGCGGATCGCAGAGTCATGGCAGTACGCTAAAACTAGAGTGCTTTCGGTCCCAGGACACTTACTCAAGGCGCTCTTTGGAGGGTTAACAGAGGAGGAGAATATTCATCAAACAAGGACTTGGGGAAGCTCAATGTACTCACGAAAAGCGCCGTGCTTTTAGGTGACTGAGAAACTCTACCCAGAACTCTGGAACTATGCACCGGATCAGAGGCTAGCCAAGTCCGGGTGCTTTTTGGAGAGAATGAGCGCTCCAGAGAAACTTTCCAGAGTTTTATGGAATGTGCTTTACTTTAATATATGTGTTTTGGGGTATTTTGTGTTTTGTACCTTCAGTGTCCGGGAGATAATTAGTTGAACCAATGTTTAAAAGAGGAAAGATGTGAAATTCTGATTTGGAGCAACTGACTTAAAACAAATTAACTGCCATCCACTTAGAAATAGCAGAAAGGAAACTGTCTTCTGATCTTACTCTGTCTCCAGACATATTTGTTTGTCATCAATATAAAAGTGTTGGAACATGGAAATTATTAGGAGCTGAGAAAACTTTTGCCTGTAACTGAGCTCCAGTACTCTGAGTACCTCTGTTTAAAGTTCCCTCTGGCTGGAGAATACAACGCTGATGTGACCTGTTCCTTTCCCCAAACACCACATGACACTTTGTAAAGGATAAAATACACCTTTATTGTCACAAAGTACTTGTTTTTATAGAGACAATCGTGACAGACGGTCATCATCATTGACAAAAGGGTCACTCCCTGGCACCTCTGTGTCTGGAAGATAACCAGATGAATTATTGCTTAGCTTCCAGACAACAGGACACCTTAACTGAATATCCCTAAAAACAGATACATTTATACATTAGTAGAATTCACACATGTGGTATCCCTCGATTGCTCACCCCAAGTACCTTAACTGGCAAAATAACACTTTAATCGAATCTAGCTCGGACATCCTTTAATGGATCTAAGTTTTAGAGGGTTGTGCCAAAACTTTGCTCAGCACAGCCACACAGTTTCTAAGTTTGTCCCTGTCCGGCACATGGAGCCCTCTTTGCTGATTAGTTTGTGGAAGTCTGGTTTGGGAAAGTCAGGCTGGGTTTCCTGGTTATCCTGTGCCCCTAATAAGCACAGGGTGACAGACATTTGAGGAGACTGTGAAGCTGAGAAAGGGAGGTCCCTGTGAATCTGCTGTGGCCCTGCCCCAAAATCAAATCTACCCCCTTATGACCCTATTCTCAAAGGGTTCCAGTGACACCCACACATTCTAACAGTAGATCTGATACACTGTTTTCAGCCAAGGATGGTTCCTGTTACACTAGCTAAGCAGAGAGTTAGATTCAAGGAAGTCAGTCTCATGTACACAACTCACTCAATGATCTCAGAGGGCAGCTGGACAAGGCAGGTGGAGGGGCATTTAGATCAGAGAAGAAAAAAAAACTTCTTGTGTAGTGGAGTTGAGTGAGCAAAGGATAGAGGAGCTGTTGTAGAGAGATTTGACATCTCTTGCCTGATTTCAGGAAGGAATCTACTCAGTAAAATGAACTGCGAAGTTTGAAGCGGTCAGTTTAGTACAAAGAGTGTTGTTATAAAGGTGTTGAAGTAATTTCTTTAAGAGTGCTAAACTGTAGAAGTGTAGAATAAATGTATAATGGAGGAAATAAAATGTGCAATAAGACTTTCTTCAGCAATTCTAGAGCATTTTTGAAGGTAACGGGTAAGTTTAGTAACTGGGGTCACTTACAACATTTAGATGCAGGAGGTGCTTTTTTTATCTAGTTCTGAGGAAAGGACTTAGTCGCATCTGGTGTTAAGTAGGGGCGTTAAGTTGCTGGTCCATTCCACTGTTCTCTCGCCTTGACTACTGTAATCTGCTTCTCAGTGGTCTTACGTGCTCCCAACTTGCGCCGTTACAGTCCATAATGAATGCGGCAGCGAAGCTCATCTTCCTGTCCACCCGCACCTCCCACGCCTCACCCTTCTGTCAGTCCCTACATTGGCTTCCTATAAGATATAGAGCTCAATTTAAAATTCTGGTTCTTGCTTTCAAATCGCTACATAATGCTGCCTCCACCTATCTATCCTCTCTTATACACAAGTATGTCCCGTCTAGGCCCTTACGATCTGCTGAAGACTATAGGTGTCCGTACTCCCACCTCTGATGCTCGCCTTCAAGATTTCTCGAGGGCTGCACCGTTCCTGTGGAACTCGCTTCCCTCCTCCGTTAGATGCTCACCCAGTCTCCACTCCTTCAAAAAATCGTAAAAACCCACTTCTTCATAAAAGCATATCAATTAAACTGTTAATAGCTCCCAACTGATTCCTCTTCTGCAACTGTCACTAGTCTAATACTTTTCTATACCTTTTTGTGTCATTTTATCCCACTCCCTCTAGCATGTAAGCTCATTGAGCAGGGCCCTCAACCCCTCTGTTCCTGTGTGTCCAACTTGTATGGTTACAACTACATGTCTGTTCGTCCACCCATTGTAAAGCGCTGCAGAATTTGATTGCGCTATATAAATAACATAATAATAATAATAATAATAATAAGGCTAATTGAGCTGTTGTCCATCATCAGCACTCTCTTGCGACTTGTTTATTTTGCTCTCTTTAAGCTTAAAGGGTAATCCAGACGTTGACCCCTTGCTCACGGTGCCTAGAGAGATATCAGCTATGCCTTACTGATGATACCTAACAAGACTGAAACGATTGTATGGAGTTGCTGTATCTCTCGTGCACAGAGAGCCGGCCTGTATTTTGGATCTGTTCTGCCCTTTTGAGTGGAATCAGTCTGAGATGCATGGTCTGGTTCTCTTTGTAATGGCACAAGATGAGCTAAAACCAGTTTGAGAAATGAGCAGGGATCCACTGAAGGGCAGGCTAATTGAGCTGTTGTCCGTCCTCAGCACTCTCTTACGACTTGTTTGTTTGAGTTATAGAGGGAGGTTACAGAGCTGGGCAGTTGAGAAGCTGGAGATAAGCCATCAGAAAGGGACAACCAGGTCTCCGTGAGCACCAGAAAGGTGAGAGTTAGAAATGAAGAAATTATGTATAGCTGTAAATTTCAGTTTGCAGAGCATGAAGCCAGCATTCTAGAGTGCACAAAGAACAGAGAGGTAGTTGAAGAGGAATGGCACGGTACTAGGATGAGATTGATAGGGCTTTGTATGCATTACTGCGAGCATGGGAGGTGAAGGATCCTGTACTTGAGCTATACCACCTATTGCTAGAAGCAGGAGGAAAACAGACAATGACAGAAGGTGAGTGTTGTATAGATGGGATCTTGGCTGAGAGTGGTAGGGACTAGAGTAGAGAGAGAACAGAGATATGAGTGCAAGGCTTGAGATAAGAGAATGTAGCAGAGAGCATGAAATAATGAGCCAAAAGTACAGAGAGATTTTGAAACTGAGAAAAATGATAGAGAGGTGTAGTTCACTTGAAGGAAATCGTCACTTTTATTAAATAAAAAAAAGTGAACACATTTGTCACACAGAAAGCACTTACAAACAAATTAAAGGCTCCATACACAGTTTTTATTTGATTTCAAAGCTCCCAAAAAAATAAATTAAAAAAAGTGACTCCAAAGTGCAGACATGTGAATTCATTTTGGAGGCTCTCTATGTATAATTTTTGGTATAATCGTGCCCAAAACAAGCAGGCTTGTGCACTAAACTAATTTTTGGGGAACTCAGAGATACAGCATAATTTGATCATTTTCCCAATATTTGTCTTAACTTTTGCAGTTCCTGAACAGGTAAAAAAATATAGTGAATAACCCAGTGGTTTCATATCTGGACTTAAAATTATAAAATTCTGTCATGCTAAATTTTGGTTTGAAAAACAAGCTTTATTCTACTAATCACAGCACCATTGCTTTTTTATATTTACATCTAAATATGATTATTGTCTTTTTAATTAAATGTACTAGTTTACCTTAAATCTTTAACCCATTCCGTGTTCCAGATTTTTCAGTGTCGGTTCTGAGGGTAGGTAACACCAAGTTGCTTGTGAACTTCTTCCATAATGCTGGCCAAGAACTCACTCTCTGCTAAGCTCATAACTGGACTTTCCTTCAACCCTGCAACACCAAACATGCCTCCTCACTTACAGGTGGTTAAAAACAATATATAGCGAGAGTCGGCCTAACCACAGAAGCGGACAGTCGCATGGCCTCTGAGCTCCGGCTAAACCACGGACAAAACTATAAAAATAGAGATGACCCACGACCAAGAGGTACCCAAGAAGTCCCCACCACTTACCCCATGGGCAAGAAAACCAAAAAGCTAAAGCCTGATCGACCCCGGCAGGGGCAGAGCATCGGAGACCTCTGGCGGCAGGCACATGCCGCCCAGGAGACCAAGATGGCCTCCCTCCACGGAGGCTGCTGTGACTTCTCCGACAGGGCATTGGAGAAGGAGGAGGGAGACCTCACACCAGCATCCCTGCACCTGACACCCGACACCGGTCCGGTGACGCTAGCGGCCATCAGGGAGATCATGGCGGACCTCCAAGTGAAAATCTCAGCGGTTGTGGCTTGATTCGGGAGGAGCTGCGGGGCCTGAGAGGCCGCCTTTGTGAGGTGGAACACAAAACACAAGACCACACACACACAACAAATCAGAGAGCTAACACAAAGAGTGGAAAAGCTCACACAACAGAGCACCACCTATGAAAGCATATTTGATACCCTAGAAGACAAGAGCGGGCAGAAGAATCTAAAACTTAGAGGAGTCACTGAAACAGTTCCGCCTGAAGAACTCCCACACTTTGCTAGAAGCCTCCTAACAGACATATTCACACCAAAGCAGGCTAAGGCAATGCTACTGGAAGGCATATTCCAACTTCCTAAACCAGCCAAAGCACCAACCGCAGAACCAGGTGACTTGGTGATGCAATTCCAGAGTATTAGGGACAAAGCAGCCGTGCTGGCAGCCATCAGGGGGCAATCACCCTATATCTTCGAAGGGATGTCCATAACCTTCTTTGCAGATTTATCTGGGGGAACCCTTGCCTGGCGAGGGTCACTTCGACCAGTCACCTCCCCTCCTACGCAAGAAGTCCATCAGCTACCGCTGGAGCCAGGCTCGCTCGCTGCTGATCCAAACCACCATCACCATACGAGACCTGCCAGATGCAACAAACCATCTGCAGGCACTGGCTTACCCCGGCCTCGCTAGGCCCAACAAACTCCCATGGCTGGGCCCCTGCGGCCACCCGTGACTTTGTACCTAGGGACAATGCTTCACCCTCTCGAGCCGGGGCCACGACCTGACTCCAATGAGGGCCAGTCCCAGAGGTGTTGGGTTGACTCCCTGGGATACTACCCTATCTCCACCATAACACCCACCCAATGTTGCCAACATATCTCCGCACCTATCAGGCTACCCACATCCAGATCGGACAACCTAAGCCCATTCCCGACTGATACATGCCCAACGCTCCCCCCCCCCCCCACCCTATCTAAGCCTCAGGACAACCCAGGCGATACTCCTATACCCCACCTCTGCAAAGCCCGACCACCCCCCGACTAGCGCAGCCTGCAGACTCTGTGAACACCCAGGGTCACCCACCCGCGAGCGCTTAGCCCAATAGTTAGCCAAGTTGACAATAAATCAATAGTTAGCCCCCCCCAATGAGATGAGCTCCCTAAACTGGCACCACACAACAGCCCACACTATCTTATACTATAAAAGTGCAATGCCTAACCACTGTTTTTATATGCTCATTGAAATGCTGACAAGAGCCGTCGTGGCATTGTAGGCAACTCTGTCATGTTTTGCATATGCACCAAAAATAAGAATTAAAAAACAAACAAAAACAATGTATAGCAAGATATGGCATTAGCCACTTTAATGTTGGTTACCTTTTAAAAGACACTGACGTACATGTTCTGCTTGATAGCTCAGTCCTGTGCTGTTAAGGAAATGCAAGTACTTTGTAGTAGGTGGAACTGGGTAATTTGTTTCCTTTCCATTAACAATGAGAGATGTTGGGCACCAAAAAAAAGAAGGTATCTGATAGGTAAAAAGAAATATAAAAATAGGGCTAATTCTTTAAAGTCTCCATGTAGTCCAGATTTAGAAAATTTGATTAAAAAAATAAAAAATACTTTTCTAAAGATAATTTTCACATTTATGAACTACAGAAATCTGCAGTAGTGTCCTGCTAGCTGTGCATGCTAAAGGTTATGTGTACTGTAGTGGTTATGGTGGTGTGTTCCTTGAATTATCCAGATATATTGCTTCCTCTGCAAAGTTAACATTTGTGCTCCAGTGGTCACAATGGTCCCTGAGGTGGAGCATTTAGACTTTAACGAATAAACCATGTGGCCTCTCTGTAACAGACTTACCAGTTAATATGCACTCCTCTTTAAAATATGCGGGTCAAATTAAAGGTAAGCACATTGGACCGATATGTTACAATAACTCGTAGAAAATGTGATCTCTAATAAATTGTACTTACGAGGTTATTCACTAAAGTGAGAATTCAAGGTGAATTTAAAGTGAATTTCAAATTAAAAAAGTCAAAAAAGCCCAAATGGAAAAATGATGTAACTCAGCTACGCTTCCGTTTTATCTACTTTTGCCTTAAATTTAAAATTCACTTTGAATTCTCACTATATTACTGTATATAATATGTTATAACCTCATTGATTAAGTTCTTATGGTGACCAGAGTTTTCCCTTTGAGGTTTTTTTCTGTATAATAACAATCTGGGTTTTACCCACTTCTACGGAATCTATCCTCATATATTAAAACTTAATACCTGAATAGTTCCTTTGGTGCCAGAAATTACAGCCTGGTTTGGCAGTTCTACAGCTATAGAACAAGTAAGAATGGCCTGACGCTTTCCTGCAAACTGAATGATAATTGTCACAGTCTCGTCCACTCCTACAAAAAAAAAGTTGACATTTAATATCCTGCAGTTAATGTTTCCGTTGTGGGATTCATTGATTAATTAAATGTTAAAGAGCTTTTCACATATTCACCAAGAATACAATAAATTCCTTTCTATATTTTCCTTTGGCGACAGTGTGAAACTTTTTTCATACTGGGGGAAACACTTACCGGTCTCATGCAGGAAGCCTTTTGCTGTGATAGACTCTGGTTTTTCTCCATTAAATGCCATTAACGCAAACTGGATACAGTAGCAGCCGATGTCAAGTAGCGCCCCTCCGCCAAGATCTTTTTGCACTACCCTTTCAACGTGTAACAAATTGAAGCCAAACTCTGCTCTTACAATCTTGACTTCTCCAATAACATTCTGGGTTAGCAAGGAACGGATTTGATGATACACAGGAAAGAAGCGACTCCAGACTGCCTGTTCACCAAAGTGGACATTTGAAGAGAGACAATAGACAACCTTGTGAATGTGTTCTTTTGCAATCAAAATAGATAACAGAACAATATCTAAAGGAGAGTAGAACCCCTCCCCCCTCTTAATCCCCAAGTGACAAGTTCCCTTTATATAAAAGACAAAGGAGGAATTACTTTGTTTTAGGTTAAAACCTGTGATTGACAAAAAGGCTGTTGGATTAAACCGTCACCTTTGGAGGCTCCTGCAGTTTTGGGGGGAATTCTCCATAGACCTCAGTGTTGTACTCTCACGCAAGTATGAGTACAGCACTTACATGCTTCTGGCAAATCAGGCACCAGGAGCCAAAGAATTCCTCTACGAAGAAGGTGGCAATATTCCACGGCAACCCATGGCCACGGGACACTAACTAGAGATGTGACCGCCAGGGGTCTTTGTAAACTTTGCAGACACCCAAAAAGGGACAGATCTGATTTAATTTAAAAATAAAGATCAATTCTTAAAAAGTCAGCACTTCGTCATGATGCAAATGACAGCAGACAAGAACAATTATATACCAAAACACACCTCCATTAAGAATACATTGTGTTTCCTGGCACTGGATATTAGCTCCCTGACCTCTGTGCAGTCCATGGCCAATGGTTTTTCACACAAGACATTTTTCTGGTTCTTCATGAACATAAGCACCAAATCCAGGTGGACTGTGTGCACAGCGCCAACATAGATAACATCTAGAGAAAAATAAATTTTTGGAATGAGAGGACAGAACCAATTTGATACACCGCATGATCGTTTGGCACAGCAAAGCACCCACTGTTACCAGTTTTCCTGATGTTCTGGGGATGTGGATCTTAAAGGACCACTCTAGGCACCCAGACCACTTCAGCTTAATGAAGTGGTCTGGGTGCCAGGTCCTTCTAGGGTTAACCCATTTTTTCATAATTATAGCAGTTTCAGAGAAACCGCTATAATTATGAATGGGTTAAGCCTTCCCCCTAATCCTCTAGTGGCTGTCTCATTGACAGCCACTAGAGGCGCTTGCGTGCTTCTCACCGTGATTTTCACAGTGAGAGCACGCCAGCGTCCATAGGAAAGCATTGTAAATGCTTTCCTATGCGACGGGCTGAATGCGCGCGCAGCTCTTGCCGCGCGTGCGCATTCAGCCCAGGAGGAGGATCGGAGGAGGAGAGGAGGCAGAGAGCTCCCCGCCCAGCGCTGGAAAAAGGTAAGTTTTACCCCCTTTCCCCTTTCCAGAGCCGGGCGGGAGGGGGTCCCTGAGGGTGGGGGCACCCTCAGGGCACTATAGTGCCAGGAAAACGAGTATGTTTTCCTGGCACTATAGTGGTCCTTTAAAGGAATAAATACTATTATGGTGCTCTGTAGTTGTTATGATGTCATGAGTGCCCTGCGACCCTCCCAATGTAACTAGTCGAATTGTTTTACAACTTACATGCAGGTTTTCTAACAGCATTGAATAATTTGAAAAGCTTATTAAAATCGAGGCCTTTATATGAAAGCAAGCAACCGGATTTGAAAGATTTTACACAATCTACAGCCGTCCAGCTCTTTTGATTTTGTACTAGATTAAAACCAGTATTATTATAGTAAAATGTACAGCCTAGCACAGGTGTCTAATTTGAAAGACTATGTAACGCCTAAACTTGCATTGCATGTAATTTTAAACAATGATCTGCACTAGAGAATCTATCTAACTGCCTCTGTAAAATTCTATTTCTACAATTTTCCCAGAATGCCTTGAAAAGTTTGCAAATTAATGCGGGCAGCAGTGCCACTTTTCAGATTAGCATTTCCCATGTTTCTCCCTTTGCATTTACCTTAATTTTGGGATTCAAATATTATAGGTAAAGGAGGTTCTCTGCAATGATATTCTGGGTATCTTACCAATGTTTGGGTCTTTGGCGAGTTCTTCGTACGAGCCATGTACTTTTGGAATGTTGTGAGTTTTGGCAAAGTCCTTAGCTCGGTCAATATCCCTGGCTGCCACAGCCACTGCCTGCCCACACAGAAATCAAGTATTAATATATACAAAACTGATATTCAAAGTTCAACCTAACATCAGGAAAATAGAGCAAGCACCTGTCAGGATTACAAGTTGATCAAGCACCCAGAACTGTGTCACACCTAGGACTAAGGATAACGTATAACCGGACCTTAGAATGGCTGGACTTAACGTCTCCAAGAATAGTCAAAATACTATCCAATGTCGGGGACACAGAGTCAGACACAAAGATGAGGGAAAGCCAAAAGTTAAGGATACCAGAATTCAGGGAAGTCAAAACGAAGCCAAAGTCAAATACCAGAAAATCAAGACCAGGAACGCACTCGCGGATTACCATCAGGATGAAACCACAACAGGGCAAGGAGCAAATGGAGAATTGGCTTTAAATACCCCTCCGGTGGATCTGATTGGCCATGACCGGCCTTTGACCCCAAAAGCAATTCCCAGGTTTCCATGTGCATGATTGCTACTTGACACAACTTTTCCTGTCAGGACGGTAAATGCCATTAACCACATTTTTATGTGCGGATGAATACATGACAGCACCATGCACTGCTCTCCTCTGTGGTATTAAAAGTAAGAATAAACAAATAAAGTAGAACATACTAGAGTCTGTCAGACCGTTATATATTCAGACAGAGCACTGTGATTGTGTCAGGCTGTGGAGGTAGGAGCCCAGAGTGCAGACACCAGGGAGAGACCCAGACATAAGACAGGGACGTATCCAGAAGCTAAATGAAAGGTCAGACCAATGGTTTAATTCCTGAAGGACCAGAGTCCAGGCAAGCATACCCTAGATCAGAGTTGTCAAACATGCGGCCCCCCAGATGTTGCTGAACTACAACTCCCATGATTCTTTCAATTAAACAGGTAGCCAGGGAATCATGGGAGTTGTAGTTCAGCAACATCTGGGGGGCCGCATGTTTGACACCCCTGCCCTAGATACAGGGTCTGGTCTAGCAGGGGTTAGGGTCCAGCAGAGCAACAGTCTGGGCA